TAGTAATATTAACACCTGAGATTTTGTTTCGGACGAAGAGGAGATATTTGCTAAATAAAGGTGAAAAAACGCCATTTCGCAAAATAGTAATTCTGTCAAAATTACTACTTTGCGAAACGATTCCTATTATGGTCAATAAAATGAGAGGTCACCAGGCTCTTAGAAATATTGATTATTTTAGTAGTGGAAACTGATTTTGTTTCGGACGAAGAGGAGATATTTGCTAAATAAAGGTGAAAAAAACGCCATTTCGCAAAATAGTAATTCTGTCAAAATTACTACTTTGCGAAACGAGTACTATTATGGTTAATAAAATGAGAGGTGATTAGACTCTTAGAAATATTATTCATTTTATTAGTGGATACCTTTTGTTGCGGCCGAAGAGGACATATTTGCTGTATAAAGGCGAAAAAAGGCCATTTCGCAAAATTTCGTGTCGTTTCGCAAAATAGTACAATTTCGTTTCGTTTCGTTTCGTTTCGTTTCGCAAAATAGTATAAGCCGGGGTTGCTCAATTTGCAGAAGAACCGTCGCGTACAATCATCGAGCGTTGACCTGTGATTCCTGTAATTGTTGGATTCACATGAAATGTGGACAAGTAACGCCAAAAAGATATGCTCAACTGCAACAATTGGATGAATTTGAATGGTCCTGTCCTCAATGCTGCTCAGTCAGTTCGGTTTCCGCACCTAGTTCTCTTTCTGTAAACAACCGCCATCTTGTCCATCCTTCCGGTGAAACCTGCTCAAGGACCATCACCTCTAATCACCGCTCCTTACGTTGTGCTTCGTGTTCCAATTGTTATCATATGAATTGTGCTGCTGTGAGACCCGCAGAATACGCTCAACTCAACAGCAAACGGTGGACTTGCTCTGTGTGTTGTTCTAGAGAGTTAATGAAAGAACTACCTTTCTTTGGTGCAGATGATAGTTTCGAAGCTTCAGTTGACTTAGAACAGGATGCAGAAGAAACGACGAACTGTGACGATGGCCTCTCTGATTTGTTAAATCAGTTGGAATAGAGACCTCAGATTAGCGCACCTGAATGTGCGTGGTCTAAGGAACAAGATCGAGGAACTCAGATGCCTCCAACAACAGTGTAAATTTAAAATTCTCGCAATCACCGAGACACATCTTGACAAAAAGGTGCCAGATTCCGAAATATTAATCCCAGGAATGAAGTTCGTAAGATTAGATAGGAAGGGTCGAAAAGGAGGAGGATGCTTATTATATTATGGAGAGCATTTGCATGCTACTCATTGTAAAGATCTTCTCACACAAAACATCGAAGCAGAGTGGCTGCAAGTCAAATTCCCAAGTTCTTCAGTGTTGTTTTCAGTAATCTACAGACCGCCAGACGCTAGTGAATTCTTTGATCTCGTCAGTGCCACCTTAGAAAAAGCTTGGCTGAAAACGTCTAACATTGTGCTACTAGGGGACTTCAACTGTGACTTTAACACGGAATCAGAATAGTGCTCTAACGCCAGAAAACTACGCTCCATTTTCGAAACGTTTAATATGCAAAATGTGGTAAATGCAAACACTAGAGAAACTCCAACAACAAGTACCTTGTTAGATCTAATTGTTACAACAAGGACTGATCTTATGGGCAAGTGTGGTGTTTTCCCTTTGGGAATTTCAGACCACAATATGGTATACGCATCGATGAATTTAAAGAACAAAAGGACACCACCGAATTACATCAAAACAAAAGATTATAGGAAACTTGACATTAAAAAATTTCAGGCGGACGTTGAATCCGCGCCTTTCCATTTTGCGTCAGTCTTCGAAGAGCCAGATGATATCTTATGGGCATGGCAAACCTTGTTTAAAGGAATTTGTGACGAACACGTCGCCCAGAAAGAAGTTAACATCAGAAGTAAATCAGCTCCATGGATAACAAACGAAATCCGCTACAAGATCAATAAAAGATACAAGATTTTCAAAGCAGCAGTCAGCACAAAATGCCCTGAATTGTGGTCAAAATACAAGAAAGCTAGAAATGCAGTCGTGTCAGCTTTGCGAAGAGCTAAAGCATCCTATTTCACCAATATGTTCGAAGAAGTAAAGAAATCTAGTGCCTACTGGAACTTAATTAACAGAGCTGCAAATCGCTCAGCACGCAACAGAACAATAGGCCCTCTTAAGAGAACCGACGGCAGTTTTGCTTTAATGGATAAGGAAAAAGCACAAATGATGAATGCATACTTTTCAGAGATCGGCGAGAGCTTAATTAAATCAGGCACTGCCAATGCCACCGCAGCCCGCTTCAGTGAATGCCAGCACGTCACCTTATATATTGTCACCTAAAAGCCCTATTTCGATTACAAACCATTCTGTTGAAAAAAAGATAAATAAACTTAAGACGAATAAGTCAGTTGTNGTTCTTTGTATGATCCTCAGAGGATCTTCATATGCATAAAATCCTTGAGGATTTTATTAAATTTTTTTGCATATAAAGATCTTTGAAGATCCTTCAAAGATCCTTTTTGGATCCTTTGAGGATCCTTGTCTTTGAGGATCCTTGACAGGTCTTTGACAATCCTCTAAGATCCTTAAAGGGAAAGTACGGTCTACAAAAAGTTTATTTCAATTAGAAGACTTTTTCCTCTGGAGTTCGAAAATAACTGCCATTTTGTCTAGTTTGCTTTGAATTAGCGACAAGAGCGCTTCGAAGTTGCCCATTTTTACAACTTTCGTGGCTAGAAAAGCGCCATCTTGGATATTACGTCATTGTGACGTAGCAATAGTCAAATTTAGTTCGGAACTTTGTCCTTGTTGACTAGTTTGACCTTTGGTGAAAACAATTTCTAATACTCCCAATAGTTTAAATGAGGTGAACTGTCCTCTTGTTGAATGTCAAAATACATACTAAAATTCAAAAGGAAAAGGTGTAAGCCTCTACAAGCTACCGGAAAGTGAAATATTAAAGAAAAGTCAGCCGGCAAAAATGATCCGCGACGACGGCTTGCCGAACCCTGTAAAACCTCGGAACTCAGTGCCAGAACGAAGACTTCCAGCGAGATATACAGGCATGCAAGTTTTCCTTGTTGACCTTCGCTTCGAACTGAAAGCTATGCTTACCTTTTCCATATTCAACACAGTCCTCAGTTATTTATTCTACGAGTTTTTTCAAACCATTTTATTGTAAGCGAATAAATTGAAGCTCGTAATGGTGGTACACCAAGTGTGGTAAATTTTCAGTCGCCACCCTTGACCAAAGCCGACGTTCAACATCATGCGCTTTACCAAGCGGTGTACAAATATATCTTGTCCTTCCTAAGTCTGTTATGAGTCCATCGAGTAAATTTTCTTTACCCCAACAGTCACATTCTCCTGCGGAGAAAAAACTACATGACATTTAATACATCGCTAGCAAATTATGAAGACAAACACGTTTGCGACTAATACAAAATTAATTATCCTTCGTCAGGCAGGCGCCCATATTTTACTATATCATATCGATGGGACACGATAAAAATAATATGAAAATATTTATGTCTTCTAACCAACTACTTGACGTAATTATGCAGTGCTTATGCTTTCAAAAGAAATCGAAAGTTTCATTTTTGCTTCAATTATATTGAGGTAATTTCCAGCAATGTAAACACGGTATGACATAGGCGATTTTCCGGCGCGCGTCGAAAATAACAAAGCCCTACTTCTCACAAGTCGCGACATTTCAAACATTTTAGAACGAAAAATACTGCGTTGAAGCTAATTCTAAGGAATAAAGATGAAAAACAACTTTGCAAATTAGAAGTAAATGCTGAAACAAACAAAATTTAACCCGTAACAATTAACTTCTGCCTTTTGTCAGCGTTAATTTTGGCAACTCAGTGTTTGTAATCAATTTTGTCAGTGTTTACGCATACGAAGAATGATCTTCAAGTCTAGCATTTCTAACTTGTTGCATGCCAACTGGGGCTGATCTTAGTTCCAAATGGCTCGTGTTCCGTCTATACACCGAAGCTGGGTTCCTGTAACTGTAAAAATAGTTCGTCTCATTCCGAGGTAGCGGTGTAAAATGAATCCGTACCGGGCACTGCGGTCTTCTTTAGCAAAGTAACTATCACTCCACAGCTAGCATTTGTTTGAGGTAAAATCCTTTGCCTTTCAAATTGAGTCTGTGTCCTAGTACATTTCATTCTTAGGAGCATACATTCTCGTTTTCCGTAGGTTTCTCTTGACAGTTGCCGCAAGAGAACCACTCGCGATTTCCAAGACGTGAGCGACTGAGCGGGTCGACGTTTCTTCTTGAAAATTCATTTTCTTGACTTTCTCTCAGTCTTTCTCCCAAACAGAAGTATCTCCTTCCCCTGAAGACGAGCCAGGTTTTGTTTGAAACATAAATGGATGTACTACATCCTCTCGCTAGATTAAAATCTAAGTCGAGAATTCAACAGGTGGCGCCCCAATCGCCGCTGTTTTCCGTGTTTACAACCACTTGAGCGAGGGATATAATTTAGCATGGTTGACTATTGCTACGTCATAACAAAGATGGCGGATTTCAATTTGAAAATGCCGATTTTTGGAACGTAATGGTTCGCAACTAAAACGCTTTTAGCTCAAATGAATAGTCAGTTAGGACAATTCAAGCAAGGAACTTTTGATCTAAGCAAACTTTTTCTAGACCGTACTTTCCCTTTAAAGCTAGATCCTGTGAGGTTTTTCTGACCAGGGAGTGTATGGCATTTTAAAAAGACAGGGAATCTTTCAGATGCTATGTTTAAGCCATTGTGAAGAAAAGAAGGTCTAGAAGTTTCATTAAAAGTTGATTACAGTGTACTTGCAATCTGTGATCCCTCCCATTAGGGTCTCTTACTGTGGTTTGTTAAAGTTTTTTATTTTTCTCATAATTCTTGAATCTCCAAATAGCCCTGCTTTAAAAACATACTCTTTCTTTCTCATTCCTCCTCATCAAAATCTCTTTCAAGGTGGTTTAATTATCTTGCAATGAGACCAGATAATGTTGACGTACAAGAAAACAAGTTCAGTGTCTTATGTAGATATCATTAGTACTCGGATTAGGTTTTGACCATAGAAATGCACTTTCTCTATGGTATTTATTGAATCTTGGAAGCAATATGCCACAGTCCAATCTGCTACAAGAATGTTTCAACATTGGCATTTTATCAAGAATTATTTTAATATTGTATAAGTTGATGTTCATTTACCTTTCCTTTATAATTTGACCTTCATTCTTTTGTTTTTATTGTTACAATAATTATTGCAAAATATAGGCAAGCAAAATTTTTTGGTAATTAGATTTTCAACCCTACAAAGATTTGAATACTGGACACAGTAAAACTTTCAGTGAAAAGAGTAATATACTAGTTGAATCCTAATTGTTTGCTTTTTGTTCTGTTTTGTCCCAAAGGTGGAAGAATCAGTGAAGAGAGCTCAACGAAATAAGAAAAACTGTTTTGATACAACTCTTAGGGTGGGTGTATAAAATAAATGTAGCCTTGGTAAACAATATATATATATATAGAATAAATGTTTGAAAAGAAAATTTGCCCTGAGCGGGATTTGAACCCACGTCCCCCTGTTACTAGTCAGGTGTGAAGACCACTACACTATCAGGACAACCATGCTGGCAACACGGCAATCAAAGATGTGATTTACGTGATCGGAGACGTGGTCTCCCGGGAAATTATATATATATATATAAATATATACATACATACAAAATATCCCCTGATGAGTGGGCAACCTCGAAACAGGCTTGTCGCGATGAAGGCATAGTTTATTTGTTTCTTTCCTCCACAAACATGTACTTCGCGCTACATTAATGTATTGAGCACTGTTCTACGAATATGTACATTCTACACTTTATATATACATACGTGTATATTCAGCTCCATCTAACATATGACACCTCTATCAGTATATATCTTGAAAGTCAGTTTGTATAAAAAACATGCCAATGTATTGTTGTTAGTGAACAGTGGACATTTCATGTATACATGCATGTACATTTTATTTATTGATGTTAAAGACATTAAGTTGTTTTCCAGGTCCCTCGTGTAGATGTCTGTGTAAAAGTTAAAACTGTTTCATTTTGTTTTATGTGTAGCTAAAGAGGACCTATGAGCAGAAATGCCATGATGTAGGCATGGCCGAGGAAGCACTGAAAAGATCTGTATCACTTGCCAGCAAAGATGAGGAAAAGGTTAATGTTGCTTTTAAGTGATATTCTGTGGTGATTTATTTATATATATGTAAAGCTTTAATGGAAACAAGCCATGGTATAGTGATACATGTAGATTTTTTAAAAAAAAAATCCTTTTTGAAATTAGATTATTGCTATTTAGTTGACTTCTTTGGTGGCAAGTTATTTAATTGTTTACCTGGTGTGGCTTAATTGGTTTGACTCTTTAAAATTCAATTAATGATTTGAGTGTCACCTACAGTGTAATGTGTTAGATGATGAATTTGAAAACTTCCATCTGCAGAACCTAACTGCACATGATTGAACTGTACCATGTGCCTTGATTTATATGTGTATTTATGTGGTAGTACATATATGATGCTTATTCGTATCAGTTTTAGTTATTGCATCATATTTTTCCCTTTACAGTTGCGGACCAAGCTTGGGCGAGCAAAAACTGCAGTAGAACAAGCAGGTAGAGCCCACAAATACCTGGACATACACTTTACATTTCTTAGCTTTAGCTAAAGACCTGAAAGATGTAGTGAGATCATTATTATATTAAATGCACCATGCTCCAAGTCAGGAGATCCAGAGAAAGACACTTTACTCTCACAGTAGTTACACAATTGTATCTCCACCCAGGAGTATAGACGGGTAATTGCAAACTTCATGCCACAGAAACCAAGATAAGCGCTGGCTAGATGGGTCACTTGTGATTCATTTATACAACTGTATATTATTGGAATCTATATTTTTCCTTTGAGTTGATTTGTCATTCATTTTTGTTTATTTTTTCTTTTTTTTTTACTTATGTATTTACTTGAAATCATTCTATTACTTTTGTTTCACAGGTTAGTTTTCGAAATGACTAAGTAAATAGATTGTTCTGCCTTAAACTGAGATTTTTTTAATTTAATTTTTTAATTCCATGCAGACACTGCGTACCAAAACTCAGTGCGAAGCCTTGAAGATGCACGGGTGATGTGGGAGAAAGAAATGGAACAGTGCTGTAATGTATGTTAGAAATCAGATTTGTTTATACATTACAAGTGATTTTGGTTTTTTTAGGACCTAACATCACGATGCGATCCCATAGGGAAGTAAAGCGGAAAAAAAAACCAGGAAATCCCAGATTAAGTTCAACGCCCAACTTAAAAGTGGTCTAAAAGTTTGATTAAGATTAATTAAAATAAAAAACCTTAAAATAATAACCTTAAAATAATGATATTACATTACTAAATTTTTTTAACAGTGTTTTCAAACCCTGGAAGAAGAAAGAATATCGTTTTTGCGTAACGCAATGTGGGCCTATGCCAACACAAGTTCAATGAACTGTGTCAAGGTGGATGAGGTAAGCAATCAATTCATACGGGAAGTCACTCAGTTTCTCAATGAATCAAATAGTCCATCAGTAAGTTGTTGATCAATCAAGCATTTCGTTAGTCAATTAATCAAGCAGTTTACACGCTCTCTGCATAAATCAGCAAGACAGCTTGTCAATGATGAACCAACCAACCGCTTCAGCTGGTCTAAAGAAACAAAAAATTAATGCAGTCGATCAGTTTCAGTAATGCTTACAGTGACGTTTTTAATTTCGTAGTTGACATGTAACAACTAAGATTGATGAGGTGGGCAAACATCCATGATAAGTCAATCAATTACTCAATCAATTGGTAGTCGATCAGTCAGTTAATCAATTAAGAAGTCAGTTAAGAACAGACAGACAGCAGGAAGGTAAAGGTTCTTATTCTTGGTGCTCAATAAACCTTTTTGGTCAGTACAGTTTGGTTTAAAATGCGAAAAAGAAGACCCAAAAGTCGATACATTAGCGTTAAAACGCGACGGAGTTAGTTTTATTTTTGTTGCGGTTGTCGTTCGCGTCTCAAAAACGTCTCTGCTTAAAATCTCCATTAAATATTTGCCATGAGGGGAGGGGGGGGGGAGAATCACAGAGGGAACCGAGGGGGATCAGTCTTCGCTAACAGAATATCAAGGGAGGACTATAGAAAATTGACTGAGTAGGAATCATTAGAATACTAAAGAGCCTTAGGGGGATCAGGTAAATTTTGTTGTGACACAGCCATATTCCTTCGGTTCCCTCCCCCCTCGGAGCGATGAACAATTAATCAGCTAACACGCCTATCCTTTAATCAGCCAGACAACCAGGCAATCATGAACCACTGAACTAACCACCTTGATTGGTCGAAAGAAAAAAAAAAACATTTCAATTAATGCAGTCAATCAATTTAGTAACGGCTGCACCTCTAGGATCAAGTAATAAGTGATGCATCGGATTTCTCAGAGAACAGCTAGGAAATGATGTAAGAAATGCTCCCATATGAAATAACGATACCGAACGTTATCGAATTTTCTTTTCCTCCGCTGCCTCTCAGGTGCAACTTTCCTCCCTTGCAATGCATTCGATCCACGTAGTTACTTGTGTAGTGTGTGTATGCACATCGATAATGTGAACATTTCTTACACGTTCAGACTTGTGAAGAAATGCGAAAGAGTTTGGAGCACTGTGCAGTAGAATCCGACATTCATCTTTTCGTTAGTATGAAGAAAACAGGATCTGATAGACCAGGTTAGCTAAACTTCTTACACTGGCTGTAATTTTAATAACAACTGGAGATTTCTGCCTCACTAGTAATGCCAACGACATGTTTCGAGATGAAACCGTTTAAATGTCCTCCAACAAAGGGAAAAAGATGCTGCTTAAGTTGTTTTTATTCTTAATTATGGAGGGAGATTCGACAGTTGCTGAAATTGTCCACAGCACAGCCTTTATTTTTGATCCGAAATTTACACCACGGTCAGTGGGAGAAATATTCGTTCTCGTGACTTTCTATTGACTATGATTTTTAACATATGGATCTCAGTTTTGAGTAAGAATTTTTTCTGTTTTTCCCAATTGGATTACCTTTACACCAATTGTTTGCCCAAAACAAAGCTTTTATTTCTTGAACTTGACTGTTTGGCTTGTCTGTAGATACATTTAGTGACTCAGCCTCCTTCTTTCACAATTGATAGAGAGATGTTTGTTTATATCTTTAGTGCGAATAGAATATGAGAACTATTATATGGCGCAGTCATCGGCAAAAGTTGCGTCCCCCAGTAGCAATGTAAACATAACTGGGCCTGTACCAGGAACCTTTGTGCATTCAAAAGACCCCGCCATTGTACAGTCGTCCACGGTTACCCCGAAACCAGTCAACCGCCGACCTCCTATGCAACTCCCTGAGATTCCTCGTCAAGGTGAGATATCTAATACATTGTTCACTTATATCCCTGGGATTCTAATAGTTGCTCGCTTAATTGAAGTACACTGAAGGCTTCTTCCACTAAAGTTCCCTTCGTGCTAGTCCCACTTGAGATTTACCAGAGGTAAGACAAATTGTTATTCATCTGTTCTTTGAATGGGAAAGTCTTCATTCAGCGTGCATGAAGCCAGTGGGTTGTTAACTGAAGTGATCGTGTAATATTGTGCAGATCGAGCACAATCATTTGGATGAAGAAAGAAAACTAAAGAGTTGGGATTTAGCTTTAAGAAAGTTTGGTTTAACTTAGAGTTTTCAGGATATTGTTACAGTTTAGTGTTCTAGCAGATTGTAAGAAAAGGGGTTGCACGAGATTGAGAATGCTGGCGACAATTATCAACGGTGGAGATAGCACAAGTCGGGGCCTTAATAATTCTCGGTGACATGGGAAGCTATTATCAACAGTTGTGGCAAGTCAATGTTGCAACGTTATTTGCAGTGTAGAAATGATAAGATATGTTAAAAGACTCACTTAGTTTTAGCACATTTTGCCCTGAAGGGCTTGAATGAGTGGGAGACTGATGAAGGAACTTATGATGTCGGCTGATGCTACCAAAGGAGAGCGTATCTTTTTGTTTCCTTTCATAATTATCAAATGAACAATTGTCTTTGATTGCTTGTTCTATAGAATCTGTAGATGAATCGATGTACTCCACTGTTGACCAAAAGAAACAAATAAACAGACAGAACGAAACCAAATTTTACCGTGCGGCTTTTGATTATGACGCACAAGGAGACCAGGAAATATCATTCAAGGCTGGAGATTTTGTAAAACTAATTTTCCACGAGGACAACACTTGGTGGTGTGGAGAAGTACAAGGAAAGAGGGGAATGTTTCCAAAAGATTTTGTCGAAGAAATCGACCCGTGAAGTATGACGAAGGAGGTCCTACCAATATTAGTTGTTTTAATTCGTCGTCAGTTCGAAGGGGAGAAGGATGAGTAAAGTTGTCAAGAATTACATTGGTAAGGCCAATACTATTGACTAGTTAGGTTCAAGTCACACTTGAGTTTACAATTGTTGTTATATAGAGGGCAAGAATGCTCCCGCTTAGCTGTGTAACTGATTCTTTGACATCTATCTGTGCATGGGAAAGAGTCTTATTTTTCACAGACACTTTTTTTTTTTCTTGTTTCCATTATTAACGAGTTTTGCGAGGAGCGAGAGTATTCTAGTTTATTTTTTATAATGGCTAAACTTTTTGAAAATATAAATTTTTCTCTTTGATATCGCAACAAGTAATTATGAATTTGGGTATGAAATATTGTATGGTACTTTTGGTGAGAAAAACAAATTCGCCGGCTTTGGAAACAAATATGGCCACAAATATGGACAGCGGTCAATTTAAGCAGCTCAGAGCGATCAATTATCAATTATCATGAATCCTTTCCCTGTGTTATGTGTGACTGGCATGTAGCACTGGTGCCTGATTGGATCTGCGTGTTGGAAACGTTCGTTGCTAATCGCCAAAAGATATGAAATGTTTAACAATGTGCTACAGGTTTGCTAACGTCTGATAATCAGGTCGCGTTAACTCTAAAAATGAAAAAAAGCCAATAAATGTAATCGACTTAAATAATTTAAAACGGAAATAAGGAAAAATTTACAACTTTTAGTTGATGTTATGTTTGATTTAAGAATAGTAGTCGTTGAATTGTTCTCAGTCACTCCTAAATTAATGCTGATATTAAATGGGGAGGTGACTAGAATGCAAATGTAATGTCCATTAAAAATGTTTTGGATTTCAATAAACGCCATATTTTGTATGTTTCTGTAGATTTACTGTTCTCTTTCCAACAACAGGGAACGTTTGATTTTATCGCATCTCGTGTTTCTTACGCTCGTTGAACAAATGCCTAATGAGTCGAAAGATTTTGGTTAAACAGCGAGAAATTTTACGAAGTTTGAATGTTGATGAAGTCGCAGAGAGTTGATTGCTTTGCGCAAGCGACCATAGCCCGGTGAACGTGCTTCTCAAAAAGGCACAAAATGGTTGGGAAAGAAAATTATAGTGTACAAGACACGGATGTAGTCAAAAAACTTGGATCGAGTGACACTGGCACTTAAGTCTCTTTTTGGTGTTTATGGAAACGAAGAGAGAGTTTGCCTCGAAGAACAATGGGGCGGAAGGGAGTGATTTTCAAAAGAACGCGGATAAGATCGAGAAATTCTTCCACTTTGATCAACAAAGTGGGACATCAATTTCTCCAAAATATCGCCGAAAACAAATTTTCGTCTCTGTCGCTGGGTATGTTAGTGGCAGTTGTCTCTCAGAAAAGTTATTTATGCTCCAACTCCCTGGGTAACGAGCTGAACACATCTCTTACTTTATTAAGAAGAACATTTACATCTTAAAGAGAGTAATAAGAGTCGGTAAGAATTTATGGGCGATGGTCACTTGATCAGGAGAAAACAGGGGCTATAGGCTTCACTGAATGATAAACTTTACGATAACCCCTTAGGTAAAAAAACAACTCTTTTTCAAATGCCGGGGCTTTCTATCCGAAAAACAAAACAAAAACACTAGGTCCGAAAGACAAAATGGCTCACAGCCCTCGCCGAGATGATTCCTGAAACATTATTCCACCACATTCTCTAACCTTACGACTCAGTGTCCAAACTTAAGGTCTTTAATGTACATATGACGTGTCTGAAGCCCAAACGAGCCTGATATTAATTTAAATCCTCCAAATTTAGCAATGTAATTCGCTAATCTGCATCGAGTTTTCATTATAAAGGCAATCTTCTCTACTTCATTCATCTCCGCAACTTGAACTAAAACTGGGATTGCGGCTTGAATTCAAATGTCTCAGTTCCTTAGCACTGATTTCCCGGAATGCTACAGGGTAAAATCCTTTGACCATTGACAAAGCACTTCTCCAAATTTACAATGTCAGTTTGCAGTCGCTGAACAAGATAGACTCGTGGAATTTCTTTAACTTGATAAACTGGTTAAACTTTTTAACCTATCTTTGTGAACATAGTCAGAACTTGTTTAAAAAATACTTGACATGCTGCTATAGCTTCCGTAGCTGTCAACACTCGCTCTATCACTGCCCCCATGGTATCCTGGGTAAGGAGGATGAGAAGACATTCTGGGTCTTTGTACGAGTAAGCGAACCTCTGAGGGGCAATTCCGAAGTATCGAAAGAGCTTCCTGTAAAAACAGATCGAACAAAGGGAACTAAATTCAGAACAAGCTGACATAATTCGTAAAACTGCACAATAGGGTTACAAGCACTTCTTATTAGAAAGATAATAGGGACCTTACGCAATCAGGACGGCAACGCCAAGGAAGACTTCGATTAAAAAATGAATTTCTACTCTTAGTTAGAATTTCAAAAATGGTTGCAGGAGCTTACTGTCTCATACAGTGCCACAGCTCAACTTCAGCATGACGTATAAAAGTAGCGTTGAGTTCCAAATGGAAATTAAAATAATTTGCCGTCGCGGTTTCGGTTCGCAGACGACGCAAATTTTGGCGATTTCACGTTGTTGTTTTGCATAGGACGGCTAAGAAATGTACAAAATTTCAAAACGCACGTGCTGAGCTGTTGTTCTGCCAATTAGATCTCTTGTTTTTCCACGTCCTCGTTGCCGTCGCCGACGTGGTTGTGTAAGGTCCCTAATGTGATCTGTGCGACGCGGCTATACGTGCTGACAACTATTTCCGCGCATTAATGAGCCCAAGCATTCTGTCATTGGTAAACACCTATACGGGACGTACACAATTTAAGGAACAAAGATCTTCGTGACCAATTTACAATCCTCAAGAAATGCCGTCGGAAACTGGATTGTTTAATTTATGAAATGCTCTTCATCAAAGACAGAAAACCAACACTTAACACTCAATCTGACTCCATCAAATCAAATCTTTTTATCTAACAGTTCAAGCGCACCACGCTTGTATTTTATTCACCTATTTTATCTTTTATTCATCGTTTTTATTTCTTAATCATATGCATTGAGACCTTCACACGTACTTTTTCTATCTAATGAACTCATGAAATGTATTTATTTGAATTTGAGAATGTTGGCACGGAGCCGTCGAAACGTCATTCTTTAATATGGCTGGTTTTTATCTTTACTTGCTTATCGAAAACTTTAGTTAATAAGATATATCAAATGATTTTGAATTTAATTTGGAGTACTGAAATAAGTCAGACGAGTAAAATGTTTGTTTATTTGCAAACATATAGATTTTGATCTCAACTCAATTAATGCACCGGGCTTTTGTGGATTCATTGACGAGCTCTCGGCCCATAAGTATGTTTGAATTTTTGCCATGTACGTTATTAAAGCTACTAAAATATCAACAACGTCATAACAGCACTTTCTCAAAAATGTAGAGATAGATATCTTTTGGGAAAGGAGTGAGATCTTTCAAATCTTTTCAGGGCTGAGCTTGACTTCTACATTCCCATGGGGTCCACTTGTAACCTTTACACCTTGCACAAGCTGAACAACTTTCTACTGATGGTAAAATGAAAGCCAGTTTGTTTCTGTTAAACACTTACGTTTTGAGAATGAACAATCTACTTACTCTGTATGTCATCCGGTCGACATTCTTATTGTTGATTTGGAGGATAATGTCATTCACTTGAAGCTGTCCGCACATGAGAGCTGACCCTCCGGGAACCAGTTTTTTTATATAGATGGGAGCTTTGTAAGAAATTTATATTGAAAAAACAAGTTAGCTATTCAGAATTTCTTAGGAGCGATAGCTGTAACTTATTCGTTCTGGAAAAGCCGTGGACACATAATTGCTCTCTAAATTGGTCAGTGAGTTTATGATGATGTTTTTTCTGAAACTGCAGTTTAAATAGAAGGAGAACGTGTGAGTTCAGTTAAGATTCATTGGTCTTTGTGAAGAGACGCACTTTGTGAAGTATACTGGGTTTTACTACCTGCAATGACTGATGCGTAGCTGATGAATTCCCAAGTTACCAACGACAAAAAATGGAATGGATAAATTTTTAATAAAGCCGCGTACCGCGCCTTCAAAAACGTGCCAGATACAGGTACATGTAACATACCACCATTGTCTCCCCCCGTGAGACTCATTCCCAGTCCACTTTGACCTTTTGTTAGGTACACTTCGAAAGGTAGATCGTCCATACTGTAATCTATAACGAAAATGTGTCATAGATAGAGATCAGTTTGCATTAAGTATCAGGTAAAACTGAGTTCTAAGTTAATTTGGTTTTCAACTGAGTTGAGAATGTAAAGTTAGTATCGCATGACAGAAAATTAAAGAACTCGTGATGTTTAAATAACCGCAATCACAATGCAAGGAATCTGAGACTACCAAAGCGTAGCAAATTCATTTGGATATATCAACAAAGTTGAAATGGTAAATTGGCCACCGTAACGGTTACAAAAGCTGACGTTTCGAGCGTTAGCCCTTCGTCGGAGCGAATAGAGGAATTGTGGGTTGTGTGTGCTTTTAAAGGCAGAAAATGGAGCTACGTTATTGGTGGGAACATGGCAACGAGAAAAACATGAATAAATTAGTGGAATGAAAAGCGTTCGTTGATCCCTGTGGGATTTAGACTGCCGGTTTGAAAGATGAGCTTTTGTTCAAGATTTTTACGGCTTTCCGTGC